TCATATGTCTGCTCCAGCATATCCACGCCGTGGGGTCCTCTGAAGGCCTGGCATTTTGGGACAGCATTTCACCCTCAGAGCCAGCTGCAGTTCATGGCCAGGGCAGTTCATGGCCACCTCCCATGCTGACTGTGCCAAACCCCACCAGGTGTGGCCAGTGCAGCACCAGGGAGAACTCATGGTGCACTTGGGGGATGAACTCATGCATGTACTAATTGAGCATTCATGCATGAGTAAATTGGGTGCTCATCCAGGTCTAATTGGACTCTCAAGCGTGACTTGATTGGGCTCTCAAGCGTGAACTAATTGGGCGCTCATGCGTGAACTATTTGAGCAATAAATTTTGCACTAATTGGACACCCATGCGTGAAGAAATTGTGTGATCAGGCGTGAACTAATGGAGTGATCATGCATGAGGTAATTAGGCACCCGTACCATGCATGGACTAAACTGGCACTCATGCAGGAGCTCGTTAAGAGTCCATGCACAAACAAAGCAAACCCTACAGTTTAACCTCAATACCTTCCACCCTTGCCTCTGCAACATATATATTTGAGAGATGTTTCAACACACAAACATTATTGTCTCTACTTTCAACATTTTCACAATCTTAATATACAGCAATTATAAACTTCATCCTTCCTCCCTGCAGAACAGACAGTAGGGATTAGCATTGCAGCAATGCTCTTTAAAATCTTGTTCTTTGCCCCACATATCATGTCATAGAAACATTTAAGTTGAAAAATATGCTTAAAAATCATTGAGTCCAACCATTTACCTGACACTACAAAGTCCACCACTAACCCATATTCTTAAATGCCATTCCTACACTGTCAGAACACCTTATCCATCACAAACTCTACCCATTATGCTGGTGGACCAGACTGTAAGGGATTAATATCATAACCAAGTGCATATGCACATAGTAAAACTCTAGCCCTGTCCCAGGGAACCAGACTACAAGGGTTGTCATCATCATCACAGTCTGAATTTTCATTAAGAAGCTATTCCAAGCCCTACCCCTTGAGCTGGTGGACTAGATTATTGGGGTCAACCTTATCACAATCGGACTGCACCTACTCTTCACAAACTTCAAACCTCATCCCTATGGGATGTAGGGATTATACTCAGCCTGAACGTGCATTATGGTGCCTCTCAGGCATACATTGCAGGGGGCACAGCATTCATGCATGAGCATCCCATGAAGCCACACTGGGATGCCCAGCTAGCTCCTGCTTGAGTGGTTCAATAAGCACATGCATGAGCACTCAATCAATAGGTGCATGTGTGCTCATCTAGTTTATGCATGGGCACTCAAATAATTCACCTGAGTGATCTGCCAGTTCATGCATGAGGGCCCAATCAGTTCATCCTCAAGTGCCCAATGACTCAAATGTGGGTGCACAATTAATTCACATCCAAGTGCCAAATTAATTTATGCCAGACCACCCAAGCAGTTCATGCATGAGTGCCCAGCTAGTTCATGCATGAGTGTCCTGCGAATTGATGCTTGATTATCCAATTAATCCCTGCATGGAGGCACAATTAATTCATGCTTGAGCACCCAATTAGCTCACACATGGCCATCCAATTGGTTCAAGATGCCCCATGCTCTCACACAAGACTGCACATTCAGGTCACACATGATCACTGAATTCATGCATGAGAACCTGACCATTTCATGCATGATGGCACAGCTCACAAGCACCCGACTTCCTCCTGCATGGGCACTCAGCTGGCACTTGCAGGAATGCCTGATGATCTCATGAGTGACACACGTGGCAGGCTTCAGCAAGGCTGTGAACTGCTCTGTGCAGGTGGCAGCTGCCTCTAAAGCTGATGTAATTGCCCATGGCACCCCAAAAGGAGCACACAGTGCCCTAGCACACAGTTGTTTACAAGCAAGCAGCAGACACAAGAGAAAGAGACACAGAGGGAGAGGTGCCAGAGGAGTCACACAGAGGGAAACACAGCACAAAAGGGCGAAGTGGGGCAGAAACCCATCCAAACTGAGAGTTAAGGAATTGCACACACAGGGAAAACAGAAGGCTCAGTTAACTTTGTTCAGGATGTGGAGCAATGTCCAGAGCAGTTGAGCCATTTGGTACACCATTTTATTGCCCAGGTTGAGAAATACCTGTGTTGCATCAAGAGAACACTATTCATCACACATTTTACATCTGGAAAAAGCCCTGCAGCTATTTGAGTCATGAACCTTGCTACCTCCAACAGTGGTGGTGATCTTTACTTCTACTGTTGTCATCATCTGCTTTGAATATCGAATATAGTAAATAACTGAAAAAATCTATTGTATCCCTAACTTTGTGTTTTTGCAAAATTAAATTTGTAGCAAGTGCTCGGTATATGTTAACCCAAATAACCCCACAGTCCACAGGGTCAAGGGGTGGCATATGTAATACATACATATTCAAAATGTTGAAGCTTGGTTACAGTTGTTGCAGGATCAGGGAATGAAGTTTTTAAAAGCATGAATTCAGAGTGTTATAAAATTAATCCATACAGGCTAGCCCACTGGATGGGGTTGAAATTTGTGAAGAGTACATATATTCAGACCATGATAAAGTTGACACACATCCTTCTGTATTCGTCTTTTCAACCCTAAGGATCTTGTTCAGGTACTTCAAACTCTATTTCCAACATACTTACTCATTGTTCATACCTACTACCCCTCCAAGATCTAACTGCTGAAACACTTATAGCCCAAATGTCCAATAACACATTTCCTGCTGCTAGCTAGCCTTCACTAGGGGGATTTTTACTTATGTTACTGCAAATTAATTCACATTTCTAATCACTGACTTAAGTAATGAGAAAGAAGAGAGCAAGCTATTAAACCCTTAACAATCTTATCCTTCCATCCTCACTTCCCAGTTTAAGCTCCCTTAGCTTTCACCACAGTTTACACACAGTCCATCCCAACCTCTCTGGTGATGGGCAGTGCAGTGTTTTGTGGCAAAATAACATTTTGTCATTGCTCTCTGCCTTTCACTGGGTTTCTTCCACACCCAATGAAACCCAGGCTTCCAGCCCTAGCATAGACTGGATGAAGGGCAACATACCATTCCTGTTCTAAGGACACAACTAAGCAATTTTTTTTTTTTAACCACTGAAATCTACACTTAATATCCTTAGCTCTCTTTTTGTAGCAATTTTACAGAAAGTCTTGCAAATGTTCACAGTATTCACAGCAATATAAAAGGTCAAGGCCTCAAGAACATGTATAATGGTAAAGAATAATGTTCTATTCTTAAAAAACAGTGCAAAAAAAAAAAAAACTTATATGGTGCAATATTCACCACGCTGCACAAAATGAAATGCTGAGGTTGTCAAGCAGATCTCAGTACCTCCAAGAGTACTCTTGCTGCACAAAGCCTTCAGCAATGCAACCTGACTGCCTACACTAGACTGATAAATCCTTTGCAACAGGCAGCCTGGATTGTATTTGAAGGATTGGCCCATTTACTGCATGCTTCTGCCAAGATACATCTTAACTCGCAGCTGACTTTGAAACACAAACCACTTAGCAACTCATAATATGATTTCTAATCTCTAAAATCCCACACTACCGACTAAAGGCAGGAGGCTTAGGCCTTGAAGTGTTAAAGAGCTGCATTGACAGAAACAGCATTTGTTTTGAGAAGTCTTCAAGAGTATTGATACCAGATCAGGGCCCATCAGAGTCTGTCAGCTGAAGTCACTTCTCATGTTCCTCTCTGTGTTGACTGGTGTACTTGCTAAGATGTCTCTCGAGCTATGCAAAGTCAGGAGGGAAAAAGCTGTAAACTGATCAGAGTGAGAACTAAGCCTGCTTTGTGGCTGTGTCTTGCCAGCACAGAACAGCTGGAATTTGTGGCCGTGGTGGTTGTAAAAGTACTACTGTGCGAGCTTAGGACTGTCACGCTCCCAGAGCACTCTCCATCAGGAAAGGGTTGAGTATTTCCTGACACGCAGGAGAGTATCTACCTGTCAAAGGTTTGCCAGAAAGCATCTTCTGAGTCAGAAAGGAATGACACTTCACATTGTTGAGATTTAAACCCTGTAAGCACCATTTCCTGTCCAATTATGTACAAATGAGTTTAACATGGCTGTCTACAATGGCAAATAATGATAATTTCTCTCAGCTGGCATCCCTATGCTTAAGGGAGCCTCCAGAAGATATCTACAGGCAAAAACCAAAAATGACAGGCTGAAAATGGGAACTGTTCTTTATGTATTATTGTATTCTCTTCACTTTGCAACGTAACAAGGACTGACAGAGAAGGGGGATGGACAGTCTGGGCGTACACTTAGAGGCATGATGCTTCAGTGGCCCCATGGAGAAGAGACTGCCTCTTCTTCCACCAGGCAAAACCACGATGCCACCCCCACTCCCACAGCTGACAAACTGCCTGAAAATGCAGGTAGGGGCCACTCCATTCCATGCAGTGCGGGAAGTCTGTCCCCACACTGCAGCAATGACTAGGTACATGGAACCCAATGAGTCTCCTGTGCTCTGGGCCACTTAGCTTAACCACACACATCTACCTCATTACCCAGTCCCAAAATCAGTGTGGAAAGTAAATGAACACTGTGCCACAAGAGCCTGGTGTTTAGATGCACTCTCATTCCCTACTTCAATCCAAATTTTGCATTCTGCTACAAGCTGACAAGATAATTGTGAGGTAATTACACTGTCTTCATTTCCAAGTGCAGCAAAGATACAGCAGCAAGAGAATGTACTAGCATGATAAAAATTGCACGTTTGCTTTTCAAAAATTATCCAGCTGGCCTGTATATTACCAAATAAGTAGCAGGCTTAAAAGGATGGCTGGAGAATGCTTCAAAGCTCTGAAAAACATCTGAATCTATCATGAGGACCTAACAATGTATGTGCAATGCTACAATTTACAGGCCTAAATAGATGAGAAATAGCAGGGTCATGCATATATGTGTATATTCTTTGGGGCAAGTTTTGGATAATCTCAGTTTATGAACCTTACCAGCAATATGTCCAGAATATGGAGAACACTCCATCTCCATTGATTGAGATGTTCCAAAGCTTCTTTGATTTTGCACCAGGGTGTCTGCAGCTTTTCACCAATCTTCAGATACTTCCCCCATCAGATATAAAGTGCCAGAAGAGAGGTATCTGGAGAATCTTATCAGCTGTAGGGCTGAAAAGAACATTGTGAGTAGACCAGACAATTTCAGAATGCCTTCATTTCAAACAAAGGACTGTTGATACAGGACTCTAACCAAAACCCAGTCCAGGAAGAAAGTTAAACTAAAAAGCCTGGCTGTATATTGCAGCGCCATAATTTGCAGTTCAACAGCTTTGAAAAATAAACTAAGAATCTTGGAGGAAATAGATGAAAAGTGGCAGCAGTGGATGATTTGAACAGTAACAGGATCTGTTTATGGACAGAGGAAGGATTCTTGGGACATCTCCCCAGAACCAGGGAGACCTCAGCAAGGCACCACAGCATGCTTAAGCCGAAGAACCTCACCTCATCTGTGTAAGGGTGGTGCCATTTCCTCAGCCTGCTTGGTACCACAGCCCAAGAGCACCTCTGAATATCAGTGACACAGGTAAATTTGTCTTCAGATAACGCAAGGAAAGGCAAGGCAAAAGGATGTCCAAAGCCATGGCTGCCACCATGGAGCCAGCTCCCTCAGAGTTAGAAAAGTTCATCCAGCTCAAGACTGAGCCCTGTTTATATATTGTTTTCCTCTTCAGAGGGGTAATGAAGTTGCCATCACAGAAATTCTCTTGAGGTTGCCTTGCTAAACCAACCTTGATGAACCTTGCTATTCATCACAACAAGAACACTTGAGTGCTGCAGTCCCCAGTAAATCAAAACAGGCCAGGATGTCTGTAATTCTTAATCAGCACTCTTGAATTTACACTCTCCTCAAACAGCCTTAGAAAAAAAACAGAGTGGACGCCAATTTCCCTACTGGTGCAAATGAGTGAATTTCCACTGAAATCGAGACGCCTGAGCCAATTTAAACAAGCTAAAAATTCAGATCTTGTGCTGTTTCTGCTCCTGCTTAGAGTGGTTTTGAGACCAAGCAGAGCTCTTGCAGGATGAGTAACAATGAAGCAGTGATCTCCTAAAGCAGCTTTCATGCAGAGGTTTGCAGTCCTTGGCAAAGGAGATCTCAATACCCACAGGTTTTAAATTTGGGCAAAGGAAGAAGTGACTTGTTCAAGTCTCTTAGCAAAACAACAGCCAAACAAGGATATGTCCAAGTCCTGGAGACCAGGCTTCAAGGTGCCTGTTTCTCTATTATGTTTAACCAAATTGCTTTTCAATAAGGGACTTGAAAATTAGGAACCTTTTCATTTTTTTTATATTGCCAAAAACCACAGCTACCACACTGAGTCACATTTCTGAGCTTTAAAAAAAGGCTGCTTTCAACATTCCTAATTTTCACTGCTTATAAGCCATGACTTTACAGAATGATTTTATTTTTTTTTCTGTGTAGTTGAATATGCCCTGTATCTAGAGGGTAATTTTGGCTTTAATCTGCTCTAAACGCTAGAATGTCGGACAAGTGAAGCATTTGATGGTGATGATAATGAGTAGCCCATTAAAGGTAATTTTTAAAAAGTTAATGAGCTCTCACCAAGGGACCGACACGTACTGTAATGAAAAATGTTTGCATAAAGAATATAGCTTTCTTGCTATTTATTTTACTTTATAGAGAGCCTATAAAACTTTTTAATATGCCCTCAATTAATTCAGCAGTTTAGATGATGCTTGAGTTTTATTTTCATTCTTGCTTTGCTATAGTAGGTTACAGAAATTTCGTTTCCTAAGGAAAGCAACTGATATCTCAATTAATCACTCTCTTTTACCACCATATTCACTATTGAATGTCCAGGGATTCAATTTTTTTCCCCACTGCTTAATTAAGAGAACTCAGCAACAAAGTGATTTAGTGATAATGACTCTTGCCATTTCTTTAGCTGTGTGGTCACTGTTAGCCACTATTTGAATTTACCAGCATAAATAAAGCCCTTCAGTGACTAAACAAAGTTAAAGTAGCAATAAATTAAGCTTGCCATGTACACTCGGTTAAACCTTCAGCCAACATAAATACAAGCAGCCCTTTGCTGTGATTTGCTTGGTACAATGACATCATACATTTCCAAACAGAACATGAAGACCACAGCCAAAAAGCTAACACAATTCCCTTACATGAATCAAATTACAACAATCTAGAGTTTGTTGCACTGACTGTTCAGTTTCTGGCTTCTATGCCATGTGTTCTCATGTGACCACATTATAAAATAATCTATATGGTGATCTCAATTTTGCATTTTCTGCATGATTACATTTTGGCAAGGGGGCTCCCCATGTCATCACTCTCTGCAGGAATGCTTTGAAAGTTTCTGAAAAGTCAGAATTTGCCATCTCAGAGTCAAATCAAACCTTCCTGAACCAGATCCTAAGAAGAATAAAGGCCACAAAGGGCTGTGTCCAGAGACAGACAGAAAGGCAAAAATCAGGGGTGGAGCTAACTAGAGCTAAACCTAGCTAGGGCTGCTAAAAAGGGGCTCTGCCTCTAGACGACAAAGTTTTTAGGTGGTGAAGAGATCAACTAGGGGAGGCAAGAGGACAAAATTGCCACGTTATCTTAGATTGTGTCAATGCAGGCCATTGACCATGATTCTGCTCACCTTCTGATCCACTGGAGCCTCTCCCAAGGAACATTTCTGCACTGCAGGACAGAGCTCAGAGGCAGCTGAGCTGCCTTGTCAGCAAACAGCCCCACAACAGAGAGAGCAGCAATCCCAGGAAGGGCTCACCCAATCCCTCAGCACCACAGCAAGCACAGAGGCACAACCTCCACAGCAAGGGCAGGACCTGAAACCTTCTTCCAGAAACTCCTGAGGGTTTTTGTGCCCGGCAGGGTGGACTCTGGCCACCTGGGACAGCCGATGAAGAGCAAAGCATTGGGCTCCTGTTTGCATGAGAAAAGGAGATGCTCAGCTGGCTCCCAGAGCAGTGCTGGGCATCCTGCTCACAGCAGAGGAAGCCTCTCTTTTGGTACACCTGCAAACAGCCCTTCCAAAAGCACAGCAGGCAGCTTTGCTGGACTACAGCACAGATAATTTTATATTACTGCTGGTTAAAAAAAATAAAAGCCAGAAATGTTGGTGGATCCTGGCTAGGTTTAACCCAGAACTACAAATTACTTGCAAAGAGTCATGCTCTTGTAATTGTTCTTCATTACAACTTCTTCACTAAACAGAGCATAACTATTAAATTTCTTAATGCAAGAAATAATCAAGTAAAATATAGCATCACAGACATATTAGTGTGCCATAAATTAAAAAAGTATGAGAGGGAATACCTCTCTGAGCCTATGCATGTGACAAAGGATTAAAATTGGAAAAAACTTAATAACTTATTGTTACAACTTTATGGTGTAGCCATGAAAATGGCTATAAGAACATTTTGCCTCCACAAGTCTTGTGCTGAGCTGTATAATTTTATGTCAGTTTTTATTAATATTTTCATCAAGAAAGTCTTTTTGAAAGAGAAGCACTAGAAAAACTGGGTGAGAAGTATTATCTGTAGTCTTCACAACAGATAATACTTCTACAGTATTTTAAAAATTAAGAGATAGAGCAAAGTCACTCATATATCAGCTTTTCTCTACTCTTTCTTTATTCTCCTAAGCCTGTGTTGAGTAATAATTCTTGCCTTCTAAATCATGACATATTAAGGATGAAAAAGATTTCACATTGGTTTTCTCCCCCCCCTTTCTTTTTATTATTCTTTTTGAAAGCTATGTAAAGGGCTGAAATATCATCCAGGCCTCTATGAAGCCAATCAGCACAATGCTTATTAGGCACAAAAGAGAAGATGTGATCTATTTTTAATTAAGCCATCTTTGAACAATGCAACATAAAGAACCTGGCTTTTGAATTGCAAGGCAATCAGTGAATGGATGGTGAGTGAATTAAAAGTAAACAGGAGGAAGAATTCCTAGTACAGGGAAGGATCAGAGAAGATGTTAAAAAAATACAACACAACTTTTCTCAAGTAAAGAAAAAAAAAATTAATACTTTTCTTATTAAAATTTTGAGGGTATATTTCATTCCCTATTTTGACTCACTTTTCAAAGCCACATCAGGTTGTTTGTAAAAACAATTTGTTAGCAAATACATAGTTTGCCTCTGCCTTGAACATTAGGAACTGCAACATATATACAACGCTTACTGATGTTTAAATATCAATCAGATTGTGTATTATTTGAGCAGAGTACACATTCAAGTCCACTTTACACCATTATGGAACAGACTAAACAAACCTGACCTCAGGGGTGACCTTCATAGGATCCCTAAAGATTGCAAATGTATAGTAGGCAGTCACCATGAGACTTTTACAGCCTGGTAATGGCATGCAAATGACACTCTGTCTCTGTAAGGCAGCCAAATTCTGGGCTTGTATATGAGACTAATTTCCTGAAGAATTTGGGGAAAATGTGATACTTTTCCTTTTATGTATGAAATTCACATCTCTTCCTTTTACTAGAGGACTACAGGGGAAGCACTCCCAAAGGTCTCAGCGAGCCGTACTGCTCCCTGTAGCAGCACCTCTCCAAAACCTGCCCTCTGTAAGCAGGGTGGCCCTGGGACACAGGGAGCCCAATGTTCCAAGCCCCATCTCCATACCCAAGGACACCTGCTGAGCTCCTCACTGAGCTCTCTGTCTGAAGCATTCTCCTCCAGAGCCCAGCATCAGGCAGGAGACAAGGAGAGATGCTCCAAATTGCCCTGTGGAGGATCCATTCTCCCTCTTCTTCATACAAGGAAACCAGATATGGTTGGCAGTAAATAGGAATCCTACTCATAGCCTTCAGGGCTGATTTTTCTTTTTATTTTTTTTCCTCTAATTGAATATACAGAATGGAATGTCTTGTTAGAGGTCGCCTAGTCCAAACTCCCTGCCATCTTTGAGGTTGCAGATGGTTCAGCTCAAATGAAAATGCCTAGTGGGTCTCATGCCAGTGCAATAGGTGAAGGTTTAGCTATGGTTGCAGCACCACTGGGGATTAAAACTATTTTCACAACAGCAGCCACACCTACATGTCACAGATGGAAATTCCTTGTCCACACAGTTCATACCTTTCTTGGCACTTTCAGCTCTGTAGCTGT